GGGGGGGCGCAGCGCCCCCCAGCAGCACACCAGATCCAAAGGTGAGCAGCTCGTGCTTGCTTGCTTGCTTGCTTTGCTTGCTTGCTTCCTTGTTTGGTTTCGTCTCTGCAACGAAAACAACAGGAAAAGCAAATACAAAAAGAGAAAGGAGAACAGCTGCCAAAAGAAAAAAAAGAAAGATAGATAGATAAATAGATAAGTATGAGGGGTACTTATTTTTGGATTTTTTGTTTCTTTTTTGGATGTTTTTTTGTTTTTCGGGGCTTCTGGTTTCTGGTTTCTGTGGCTTCTGGTTTTTGTGGTTTTTGGTTTCTGTGGCTTCTGGCTTTTGTGGCTTTCGTGGCTTTCGTGGCTTCTGTGGCTTTTGGCTTTTGTGGTTTTTGGTTTTTTGGCCTATCCATCTATCTGTCTATCGCACATGCCAGGCAAAGCCTTGTCCAAATAAGGAAGGGCCCCCCGACACCAACACCAGCACGACGACACTACCGAGTTCAAGCAAACCATGGGCACAGAAACATGGGAAACCAACCACAAACACTGCCGTCGTGATGGTGGCAGCAGCAAAGTCACATTGACAAACCCCATGGAAATTTGAAAAACAAACGTCTCCTAAAACCAAGGGAAGGACTGGCAACAGGATGTCCAACCACACCTTTCGCCCTCAACACTCGGAAAGCGCTCGCGCTGCTGCTTCTGCTTCGTCACCGCGGCTGATCCGGCCATACACCCCTCCTCGATGGTGCCGGTGCCTACGCACCAAAAGAGATGGCTGCCGGCTGCCCCACTCTTCACAAGGCTGTTTCTTGGTCAAGTTGTTTTGTCCGCCCTGGCTCTCAAGCAGGGAGCTAGCTCAGATCCAAACGAAGTCTTGCATTAACCCGTTTTCGTGGCATGTTTTGACTGATGGTTGTTTGGTTTGGACAAGGTGCCCGACACTGCGGGTGACATGGTGCCACGGTGTTAAAGTGAAACATGCCCACCCGCCCAGAAGCCAATTGCGGCACGGCGAAGCGTAAGGCCTGTGCAAGCCGCGCTCAGCGCCGATGGTCCGCCCTGGCAACGGTCTCACAGCTGTTGAAACTACCGGGGGCCAATGCTCATCAAGGTGAGTGGCACCGTTGGAGGACAAACATTTTGGGTTTGCCTGGTCTGGTGGAAGGAGGTCGGAATCCAAAAAGGCCGGACGTGGTGACGTTCTGCTTGAAATACGCATGGGTGTTTGTAGCGGGTATAACGTTCATGTTCCAGTTCGTTCCCCGGCCAGTCGAAGCCAGCTGCGAAACCATAGATCGAGTGGGCCCCTCATCACAAAAAGGCTGCCACGGCCTGTCCGAAGTCTACCTTGGGAGGTCTCGTCGCAAAAGGCGGTGGATCACGTTCGCAACGCCTACTTACGCCAAGGTCAAAACATGGTGTGGAAGTTGCGAGAAAATTTCCGCAACCTGATAGGCTTGCCCATACCACAGCGCCTGCAGTCAGCCGGATGACCGCCGCCTCCTTGACTTCGTCGCCTATGGCGCCACGCCCTTTGGCGAAGCTCCGTGTTGAGACGAGCCAAGCGAAAGAAAACAGGAGCAGCAGCCGAAACACCCATCACAGGACAGTGTAGGTAGCAAACAATTGCACAGTGAAGTGCACTGCCAGCCGTCTCCCCTCCACCTAACCCACCCATTGGACTTTGCGAACCTGGGGACAGGCCAGGATAAAAACTGTCAACAAGTCTGGGGACAGGCTAGCATAAAAACTGTCATAACCACTGTCACCCTTAGCCATCGACCGGATGTGCATGGAAAAAGGTGCGGGGAAAAAAGTGCACTGATGTTTCACTGTTCCTGTGCCTGATGATGTCTTGGGGTCATGGGAAGGTTTTGAACATAACATGCACGGTGAGTTCATTGCAGGTGTCACTCTCGCATCCTTTGGTTCAAAGCATGGGAGCCTCTTGACTTCAACAACAAATGCAGTTGCAACTTGTAGCCCAAGCACCTTTTCGACCAAAAAAATTCTTAGCAGACTTGGTTGCGGGGCGCATGCAACAAGCACCAAAAAACACCCAGCAACACTCAGACCATGATGCCACTTTGACATCAAATTTTGACCATGGCCTTAGCAGCGGCTCGGGCACTAGCAACTGCACCAAGTCAAACAGCATGCTTGGCACCTACTTCCCTGCCACCACCCCGGCCCCCTGAATTAAGAGTTGCTGCTGCTGCTGCTCCTGACGGCCATTCTGGGCACGGACTGGGAACATCGATCCCGCCCCCATCTTGCAGCAACACCTTGCCGCCTTCCGCGCGCTACCCTCGATGGAGGTTGGTGTGTGCAACCATACCTCGCGCCACTTCGTGCTGTGTGGCCGCCACAAACACCACAGCAAACCGGTGCCCCCCGCCTGATCTGGTCATTGCACGTGCGCGTCGCAAAGCCCTTCATGCCAGCCACCAAAGCGGTGAACGGGAACAATGCGATCCTCACATAATTGTATTCCTCGGCGGCCACGCCGCCCGCACATCCATCCAACAGTGCTCCTGCCCAGAAAGCCGTTTTTTTTCTCTTCTATAGGCCTCTATTCCTGGAGTGCCGCCCAGCCAAATAACCACGTCCCCGTCCAACTTCCCGCACCCACGCCCACCAGCAAAACCCGCGTTTGCCCCCGCCTGCCCCTCCCCTATGCGTCCCACCACGCAATTTCCTGTAGTGCAACAGGTCGCCCCCAGCCGCGATTTGTTCGGGGGTTTGCAAGTGCTACCAACAGTTATACCCCGAAACCAGAAAGTGGAACTACCCTTGTCTCTCCCCTCACCGCGGCCGCGCGCCCCCCCGGCCGCCCAGGAGCCGCCCTTGCCGCTGCGCGCCGGGCCAAGGAGCGCGCCTATATCCCGAGCTCACCCCCGCGCAACCCGCTGCCGGCTCGTTGTCGTCAGCCTTGAGGTCGGGGGACGCTGGAGCTCTGAGGTTGCCACCTTCGTTCGCCTCCTGGCGCAGGCCAAGGCGCGTTCCCACCCGCCGCCTTCCCGGCCCTTCGTTGCGGCGGCCTGGGGGAGGCGCTGGTGCGGCCTCCTCGCCTTCGCGGCCCAGCGCGCCTTCCTGGCTTCGCTCCTGGCCCTCCCGGGCCCGGGGCGAACGTCGACGGCGAGGCTCCGCTCCTCAGCGACCTTGTCGTCCCCCACGGCGACGGCGCGCTCCCCAGCCGCCTGGGGCCACGTTCGTGAAGCGGCACCCTGACTCGGCTGGAGCTGCTTGGAAAAAGGGGCAGGGGAGAAAAAGAAGCATTCTACGCTTTCGCGGGTGCTTGCTGCCACCCCAACCATGCCCCTGCGGCAGCAATGGGTCCAACGGTGTGGGTGAGGCACGTTCACTCCCCTAAGTCCTGCCCACTGGCGGATACAAAAAGCCAGTCATGACAAACAATATGGCATACACAGCCTGTAGCCAGCACGCCCACAAATGATGAGACAAGATTCTTGATTACGTATATATCAATATAAAACCAGGCACCCTTCAAATGCAGCAGGGGAAGTAATGCACGCATGACGCACCCCTGCACACGAATTTCGCAGCCCGAACATCTTCAAACACAGCCACCACATCACCAAACGTTGCAACGTCACAACTCGACAATTCAATTGGACCCAAGCAACTCCACGAGCATGCACAAAACCCAAAAAGAGATTGCCCCGCCGGATGTTGCACGTTCAAAGCAAAAATAATTTGCGCGGGAAACTGTCCAAACTGATGAAACAGACCTCTTCGATTCCTCATCACTCATCAGTTGCAAATTGTTTCGCGAATGGCGGTTGTAAAAAATGCGAGCAAAACAAACAAATCAAGCGCTGCAAACTTCGGCATGCGCCAACTAACCAATGACTTTTTTGCCCAACAGGGTGCACAGTGAGGACAGGCCTCGCTTCACTAAGTATTGACGAGGACGGAAGGGTAGCTGGAGAAAGGGAAGGGGAACCGTGAAACACAGAAACACACAAGTCCAGCTCTCAGTAAAGGAGTTCCAGCAAGTACTCCTTTGTTGACTCCATGCCTACTCCGCTTCATGGCAAGCTCATATTCTGTGATGTTTGACAAATGCGGCGCCAACCATCACGTGAAAAAGGTCACAGGACCTGAACAGATTTGGGTTCGCTTGGGTGCAAGTGCTCCCGCAGGACTCCAGGAAAGCTGCAGTGACGCTTGGCCACTAATGGAATGAAAGGTTGCGACCATGTCGTTTAGCGGAGCATCCAAAACCATGCAAAAAGTCAGCGTGGCTTGCCACTTGCAGGATTCAAAAAATGCACAATGAAGGGACGCTGGGCGGGGATTGAGTAGGGTTTGCAATAGGACCTTCAGCGAACTCTTTGTCAAGGTTGAAGCGGGCAAGAACATGTGTCCACTACGTCACTACGTCGCATTCAACCACTACGCAGCGGCACATGCCAGCACCTTGGCAATCAGCTATCTTCAATCGTTTGCACGAAGTTTGGGTTTATCGAAAAGTAACGCTTATATTGACACATGTGTAGTTGCAGCATCAATCACACGTGTTTTTGCCTTCAAAAAGGACATGGCAAGGTGCAAACCCCCCTGGCCAAGCAGTCATTGGCCCTTAATCGTTAGTCCATCCAGTTGTTTGAAGTTTGCTGCCGTGAAATCTTCGGTGGCAGGTCGTGTCATTGGAAGACACGATGCAATGCAACTGCACACGGCGGGTCAAACGCAGTTGCTCCCACCAGTGGTGGGTTGCCGCCAGTTGTGGTCGAAGCCTCGTGTCACTAAGTGAGAAGAAAAGAAACAAAGGTTGTCTAAAGGTACACAAAAAAGTGACAGAAAGTTCCTTCCACACCGCGACGGAAGGCAATTCTTATGGCAGTTAATGTGTGTCCCAAGTTCATTGAAACAGCTCGACAAAACAAAAGGGTCGTCGCACTTGGTAGTGATTGTATTGCTGTTTCCAAAGTCAATCCTTCTAAGTCCATCTGTTGCAATTGCACAAAGGTAAGAGCTATGAGGCAAACAGCCAGCAATTGTTGCCAAGAACAACTCACGGGCACACCGGTGTCAAGGAAAAAACAATTTTGCGCAATCCACCAACCGAGCATGCGTGCATGCAGGAAAGTTGCAATGCCAAAGAAACGTGCAGCAAAAACGAAGGAAACAAAACGCAACCCTCTTTTCCTTCTCTGGCCGCATCTGAGAACATCAAATACTGGGGGAGGCCCCTTCGTGCGTCTCCGGTTTCGGACGGGTTTTGGTTTCAGTTTATGACTTGCAGCATGATGGTTGCGAGGCTGCAAGGCCCGAGTCTGCGACGCTGCCTCAAACCTTCAAGCCCACGGTGTGCGAGGCCGCGAGGCTCGCGGGATCTGATGATAGTTTCATGACCGCATGAACATCATATCAAATGGGCCGAAAGCCGCCTTTCTTTAAGAAAACACAAGAGCCCAAGAGAGCCCACCTGAAACCTTGTAATTGTTGCAAAACACCAAGCGGAGCCCAGCGGAGCCCACCACTTGCCTTGGAAAAACACAGGAACCCAATGTTTTCACCCGTTGGAAAGCATAGAAGAAAACAGGCCCTTAATCAGGTTTCGGATTCAGTTGGGTTTTGAGATAATACTGGCTGACGGTGGCATTACACATCGCCTGTCGTCCTGAGGGTGCCAAGTCAAGAAGCAAACAAATCACATGATACCCCTTATCATCTCGCTCACCAGCGACACGCCGTTTACGAGTTGCACCAACAAACCGACACACCGACCAACAAACGAACCAACTAACCAGCCAAACAACCAAACAACCCAAAACCAAGCCAACCAAAAAACCAACAAACCAAGCAACCAGCAACTAAGCAACAAACAAACAAACAAACAAACCAACCAACCAACCAAACAACCAACCAAACAACCAAACAACCAAACAACCAACCAACCAACCAACACACCAACCAACCAACCAACCAACCAAACAATGAACCAACCAACCAACCAGTCTGCAATGTCGCATTGGCAATACTATGCAATACTTCAACATGAGTAAGGCCATTGTGGTCCTCGGTGAAACGAACACATGGCAGAGGCCGGTGAAGCAGGCTCTACACACAACCCTGAAACACCAGGCAACTGTACACGGGCGAAAAGGGGAGTGAAACGGAGGAATCGGAGCGAAAGGAAACGGCACAACCGACCAAACAACCAAACAACCAAACAACAAACAACCAAACAATCATCCAGTCAACCAATCAACCAACCACACGTGCAAAAAGAACAAGCAACCAACCAAACAACCAAACAACAAACAACCAAACAATCAACAAACCAACACACTGGCAGCTGGCTCAATTCAAAGTTTCAAAGGGGTCCAAAAAAACGGACCCTTCAAGACAAAATGTTCGAATAAAGGGTGACGAATGCACCGCTTTCACTCTAGGGGCCAGATGGACGCGCAAGCGAACAGGCAAACTGCAACGCACACGCAATGCCAAGATTGTGAAAACACGGAAGCGCAAGCGTCCCCTTTTAAGATCCCGCTCCTTGAGCCAAACATCACAGTCGGTATGACTGTGCCAAACTCCTTCATCTCTTCTTCTAAAGAGGTCTGACTGGTCGCAGTCGTCCAAAACATGTTAAAAGAACAAGAAAGCGTCTCCAAACACTCTCAAGCTATTCCATACTTTACACA